CTAAACCATTTTCTGTTCTTATGGCTTTAATCTTTTTATCTGTTTAATTTTTTATCAAAACTTTTCATTTTTTGAAAACATTAAATGTGTCTGATTTTGATTTAAAAAGAAAGTCCAGTTTTTTCTAGAAAAATCATCTATGACCAACAAGTAATATTTAAAACCAATATTTGTAGAAATAGAAGCTGGTCCCCAAATAATAGCATGCAAAGATTCAAGTACAGACACGAATTTGTGCATTCTAGGTAGAAAAGATAATTTATTATGCTTTCCTAAAATGCAATAATCACAAAAACTGAGTTTTTCAATTTATCTTTTCCAAGGGCACCCTATTTTCTCAAAATTTGCAGTCATTTATCACTAATATTGTCTAATCTTTTATGTCATATTTGTGACTTGTCATTTTGAATTGAGATTGCTGCTAAAGTGGAATCATAAAAATTTTCAGTTTGTAAAATGTACAGATCATGTCTCTTAGGAGCTTCAACAATCAAGTGAGAGCCTCTTAAGATTTTAATGTATCCCTTTTTAATCAAAATGTCATAGTTAAAGTCATCTAAAACCCCTAAGGAAATAAGATTTCTTTGCAAATTGGGAACATATCTAGTTTTTCCAAGAACCAGTTTATTATTACCCTTTATGTTTAAAGAGATAGTTCATATTCCTTTTACTTGACATGTCATGTGATTTCTCATTAAAACCTTGCCACCAATCACATTTTCAAAATATGTAAACCATTCTTTATTTGGACACATATGGTAGGTTCAGCCAGAGTCAAGAATCAATTCTTGACAAGGTGGACTCTTACAGCGGCTTCATCAATGTTGGTTTCATTATAAGCTAAGGCTACACCACCATCATCTTTTGATTTGTTTTTCAAGTTATAAAGCCTTTTAGGACAATCTTTGATGAAATGACATTCTTCAAGACAAGAGAAACATTTTTTTACCTTTTGTCTTCATTTTCATTTTATCTCTAAAATTTCCCTTCTTCTTGTGTTCAGGTTTCTTGTTAAAGTTGGCATTCTTAGGATTGAACTTAGACTTCATCATCAAATTTATGCTACTAACAGATTCTTTTTTATTTTTTCAGATTTTAACTCTAACTCATTAGTACTTAAAGCATTAATGATCACATCAACAGTTAGACTATCCCTACCATAATCAATTGCNAACAAACTTTTTCTTATTAGATTTTAATTCTAACTCTTTAGACCCTAAAGCATTAATGATCACTTTAGTGGTTAGAGTGTCCCTCCCATATTCAATTGCATGTTTAACATCTTTATATTTATCACCAATTGAACTTAATAAAATCACAACCAACTATCCACTTGAGAGTTTCCCATCACAGTTGGCTAGGTCAACGGATAATCTGTTGAATCTATTAATATTTGATTCAAGGTCAAGAGATGGGTATAAAACCAAAGAATTGTTTCAAAAGATAGACCTTATTTGACTTGGTTTTGTTCAAATAAATGGTTTCCGCACAATTCAACAGCAGTCTTAGTTTCTCCAATTTCTCTAATACATTATCAGACAGATGCAGAAAGATAGAGTTCCATGCAGTTTCATCTTGTTCAGTTACTTTACTTGTTTCAAGATCAGTTGGCCATGATTCATCAATGGCTTTAGCATATTTTTGTTGTAATAAAAGATCTTTCATTTTCTAGCGCCGAGACTAAAGTCTTATTTACCATTAAAAACTTTTAGTTCAAATTTTGAACTAATCATTTAAGAAAAAAAATTGAATGCAATGAAGTATATGGAAATCAAACAGACACTTATACAAGTGCTTGCAAAAAATTAAATAAAGTATCACCACACAAGGGACACAGGGAATGTACAGTAATTGCAAGTTATAAAAAAAAAAGTTCAATTATTTCACAGACAAGAGATTGTTCACAGTAACACGATCACAGTGTAATATTCAACACAAATTATGTACAAAACACAACTACCATTTATTTAACATCAATTAAGATCACAGCTGAGTAATAATATCAAGATCATTGACAGAGTTCAAGGTAACCCTCAGATTTCAGACAACTCTAAGGGTTTCTGGACAAATGAATTATCAAGATAGTTATGAATCAGGTTTTAAAACTCAAGTCCAGAAAACTTAAAGAGTATAAACACTTAATTTGTACTATTAACTGTAAAACATAAACGATCTCACTAGATCCCATTATTAGAGTTTCAAGAAATAACAAAGAGCAGCTTAAACTAGTGTCACGGCTAGCAGATCTACATGAATCAAAGTCAAGAACCTCCGTACAATTGCTCTGATACCACTGTTAAGAAAAGGTTCAACAATATTAGCTCAAGATCTACAAAAATACGCACAAGTAAGAACTTAAAGAAAGTACTAAAAGAAAGGAATCTCATTAATCGTTGCCCTCAAGCAAAACCCAATTTACACCATTGCCTCAGTCACTGAAAAACAACCACCGTCATTCAAACTGGAACACAACCAAGGTAAAATGAACAGATCGAGACACTCAGACAAAATCCTTAAAAAGATCATAGTAAATCAGCCTTCACTCAAGAACACTTGTTCACACAAGAACGTCACATTCAACTCAAATTAGAAATCACTCAAGATTACAACATTTGAGAGAAACCACAAAATTAAAAGAGTATTTTGATTTTCAGAGAGAATGAGAGTCAAGAGCTCGAACGGCGCAGATGAAGAAAATAAGAGAGGGTGTGTACAGTTCCAATCCTAGGAGGCCTTTTATATGAGTCAACCAAAGGTCTCCATCCAACGGTCTTGGAGATGACACTTGACGACATCACGAGCGTCCATTTCAATTAAAAGGGAGATACACGGCTTTTCCAATTAAACACGATTTTGCACCAATTCAATAATCAAAGAATAAGTCAACTGGTCAATCATCCCAGTCAGCAGGTTGTAATGCATCATTATGCCAACCTTTAAATATGAAAATTAGAAACAAAAATATAATAATCTGCAAAACTAACATTGCTGAATATACATATGTTATGATCCCATAACTAGAGCGCTCAAAAGAGAGAGCTTCAATTGACAAAAATGCTCCCAGGAGGCTATCTCGTAGTCCTCAGATGCTGTAGTTGGTTTCAGTAAATGAGATTTCTCGTTTGCATATTGCTGCTCCAACAACGGAATACGAGCCTTGTCGTCGGACTTGGGAAGAAAATCACTAAGCTATGATGCAGCTGTTTGAATTAGCTTGTCGATCATACAAGTAATTTAAACATCAATTAAATTGCACACATTTAATGAATATAATATACAATTAAAGGTTATAGTTTTGAATTTTTATATCATTGCACACCTTTGACTGTCGAATGTAGATTGATTGATGCGTCCTCGAATCAAAGACTAATTTCTTAAATGTATCATTTCCGCCACATAAAATTCGATTCAAGTCCATAGGAATTTGAGCCTTTAATCACGGGTTTAATGGCAATATTGTTTACAGGTTTAACGCTAAATTACGAAAGTGCACTAACAATGTTCCATATACGGATACGATGGTAAGCTTCCCACCTCCTTATATTGTACTTATATTTCATATCTAAGCTTGTCAGCCCATGTGTGGGGAAGGCTACCTTCGGGACTATCGGAGCCTCGAAGGTCGAACAGGCATCCATTACATTTGGTATCAGAGCGGTCCGCTCTGAACATTTGGCTTGCATACCTGCGAAAACGATTTTGGGACGATCGAGCTTAGACAAATTAGGCAAGCAAGCAAAATTGAGGATGGAAAGCTTTGATGACGACAGAAGTAGGAGCCAGCGTTATACAATTTTGCCTATACAAAAACGTTTGTTTCGTAGAGTGTGACAAGGTGTTGCAAAGGAAATCAAATGTGGGGGCATTTGTGTTGGATGCTTCGACATGCGCAATGGAGCTGCGGCCAGAGAAGCTGTCCATCCGAAGAACCAAAGCAGAGGTGCAGAGGGTACGGTTGGTGTCGAAGGCGTCATGTGCGGGCTACTGCAGGAAGAGATACAAGGGGCATCATGTGCGGGCTACTGCAGGAAGAGATACAAGGGGCATCGTGGGCGCCCGCACATCTGGGGGATGGTGCTGCAATTGTGTAGAATTTTTGAATCCACTGGCCTGGAAGGAACTGCAATGTTGAAATAACGCGAAGAGGAAAAGCACTCGTTCCGCTACGAGGGCGTAGGCAAATTGAATGGGGGAGTGAGTCACATGCCTAGAAAACTTCCCTAGCCACGTGGCATGGCAAGATTCTTTATTGCAGATTTAATGCTAAATTATCGAAAGTATACTAACAACGTCCCATATATAAGTATGATGACAACCTTCACACCTTATATTGTACTTGAGGCGGCTCATGTGTAGGAAAGGCGGGAGCCTCGAGGGCCAAACAGGCAGTAAAGCCCCCCAAAGCATTTTAAAACTTGAGGCGGAAGCTTATACCTGCAAACTAAACAAAATTTTGAAAATAAAATAAATATTTTACCCCTCTACATGGAAATTGAACTTTAAGCTTTTATTATATATTTTCTCCTTTCGTCACGAACCCCTAAACGTGACTTAACTCCTACTCAAAATGTAGATAATTAAATGTTACAAACAAGCTTCTTACTATCATATTATAAAATTAGCATCAACATGCATCAATAGATTTCTTCAGTTCCTGTAATAGTTAGTACAATGTAAAACAATTAATCCTGCTCAAGTCTTCAAAAGCATAGCATTTAAGAATTATTTGCACAAAATTGCCAAGGAAGCTATCATATTTGATTTTTTTTTTCTCAAGTTAACAGAGAAGTTTAGCAGAATGTGAGAGCATACTCAAAAAATTCACAAGCATGCTCTTAAGATATATGCAGCTTCAACTATTAAATAGTGACGATGGTGAGAGTTTGCAGCTTCTTAAGAAAAAAAATGCTTGTGTTCAATGTCCATTGCCATCAAACGCAGTGGCTGGTCCTACAATAAATCGAGCTCCTTGATAAATAAACTTCAGCTTGTGGGAACTTCTAAGCGAAAACGAATATGCCTTTCTCTGAGTTAGCCATCCTTTTTGCAGCAGCAGAACCAACAATTCTCTCAAGCTAAATGTCACGAAGTCATTAAATTAAAATTGTTTGATTCCACTAAATTTATCGCAAAGATGCATCATATTAGGTTAGAGTGGAATAAACAAGAAAATAGTCGAGACAAGAAGGATTGGAGTGCACTAATCAAGTAAA